CCTCCACCACTTGCTAATGTTACTGAATCTGTGGAAGCTCCGCGATAGCCACCACCAAACAACTGAGTTATTTTTACACACCGGCCAGCATCTGACCAATCCACCAACTTTCATTATTTATACCGTTACCAGAATGAAAAAAAAATTATCGGCCCATAAAAACGAAAAATCGCCATCGGCCCACCGGGCAAATGCCCAGTATGACCAATGGCCAGTCCAGCTATGAGCAGAGGGAGAGAGAGAGGCAGTTGCTCCATATATCCGTTGTTAAGCTTAACGCTGGAATGCTTTATAAACATTCAGAGATGAACTTACACACTTGCTTTACTTCTCTCTGGGAAAACGTCCTCGGAGATGAAATGCTGGATTGGTAGCGAGGCTACAAATACACACAGCAGCTCTATCACGCGACGCATACTGCTCCGACGTGCTACGGTTATGAGCCGAGTTACGCCGTGTCGCAAGTTCTGTGAGGTGCTTTTTTTGATATTTAATGGATCGGATTACATTTTTCATTTCTCTCAGATATCCAATCCAGTAATTTACGTCAGTATCGGACTGATACCGATACGTAATATCGGATCGGTCCATCTCTAATACATACATACATTTTTTTTTTTTTTTACCACATAAACTTATTAGCTTTATATAAGCTTGTCCAGCTTGTCTTTCTCCCACTCATCTCAAAAAACACATTTTAATTTAGAAAAAGAGCTTTATTTATGCTTTGCTGCATCTTTCGTAAGTGCGATCAACGCATGAACACAGAGAACTAAAGTTACATCCAGGTAACATATATTTTTCATCTACTTTTAAGACGTTGTGAGCCTAGGTTGGGTTTAAACACTACTGTTAGGATTATGAATATTACTGAGCTACGAAACACTTACAACCCCCCCCCCCCAAAAAAAAAAAAAAAGCTAGCAGTCTCTACCAACCATTAAATCTCTGCAAAAAGTTCAGATTGAAAACTGTTCTTGCTCAAGCTGCTGAAAAAATATAAAATATAAAAATATAATAACCTAGGCTTTGCTGTGATATCAACTTAAAAGAGCCTAAGTAGAGCTTATCAGAACCAGTGTACCCTGAGATCTATCATAAATAAGTCAGCCTGCACATACTCCCATAATTGGATGTTCACTCCCGAGAGCTTGAACATGTACTCATTTAAACTTGATTTCCTTTTGAACAAAGAGTAAGTATCTTGTATCCTTGTCAGCCTTTAGAGTTCTCTCTTTCATCCTGGATCATAGTTTCAATTTGGTTTCCAAGGTTGGAGAAACATGGACGCTCATCAAAGTCATGTGCCCAGCACTGCCTCATCAAAAGGTACACCTGGCATTACAATGAAAGTAATATGAGCAAGGATAAACATTGTGGAATAAAAGGATAGAAGGGAAATTACTTTATTGCTGATGTAAGACAGATAAGAAAGCCGTTTCTCCAAAGGTCTGATTGACTTACAATAGCAAAGATCAAAAAGTATTCAGAAAAAACTACAGTTTCGACCGCACAGAGCAAACGTACCTTGGGCGGGCAGTTTAAAGGTGGTGGTAACCTCCAGTTACCTTTCAGTAGATTTGCCAGATGCACTGAAATGGATGTACCCAGCACGTTGTGCCCAATCTCCTGCATATAAAGCTGAAACAAAACAGTAAGCCATGGGAATCTATATTTAAGCTGAAGCATTTTCCAGACACATTTGAAACAATAGTACATTTTCTTACTCTTTTTGGATTGAAACTTATATCACAGTAAGAGAAGATTTCATGAAGAACAACCCCGAAACTCCAGACATCTGATTTTTGGGAGAATCTGGACTCAGTGATGGACTCTGGGGCATACCTGCAGTAAATGCATGACCATTAGAGCACAAAATAATCCTGAGTAATGGGGCAACTGTGATCTTCAAGCAGAGGAAATCTATCTCATAGCTTATGCTTCACTTTTCAACATTACATATTCTTTTCTGAGAAGCATTTCTTTTAAAAAATAAGCACCGTCTCATGTTTGGTTTTATTCGTGTCTTTCATTTAGTCATATTAGGAAGTATTTACAGCTAGTAACCACACCATCGACACAAGAAAGTAGCTGATTCATTGAAAAGCAGTTATTAGATTTTTATTGGTGAAACTAGTGGAAATCTACCAGAAGATGGGGCTCTCTCCTGGTTGGGTGACACGGTAGTAGTCCTTATTATGTGGAATGACCTTGGTCAGCCCAAAATCAGCGATTTTTACCAGCGTCTCACTGGCTACAAGGATATTTCGGGCTGCAAGGTCTCGGTGCACATAACGCAGGCTCTGCAGGTACTCCATTCCCTGACAGGATTAGAAACAAACGAAAGACACTTTTATTTTTAGCTCTGTCAATCTCCCTCTGTGTTTTAAGTTTTTTTTTTTTTTTTAAGATTTGCAACACGTAGAACTGTGGAAAGTCTATGTATTTGTGTGTGTCTGTGGGGGAAATATAATAAGCTATGTGGTATTAGAAGGTAAATATTTTTAGCTATTAATTCTTCTTGTCACCTTCTAATACAACTCTAAAACGTGCGTCATCGTTACACAGCAGATAAGAATAAACTGCCAAAACTGAACCGGTCCACACAGCAGAGAGAAATATTCTGCATTACACACACACACACACACACACACACACACACACACGTCAGGTGCACAAACAGGTGAGTAAAATCTTTATGACTTGAGTCTTGTGACTGCCACATGTGCAATAAGCTTAATAAGCTTACATCCAAATATGAGCGTTTTACCTAAATATATTTATTATTTGTATGTAGAAAATATACATGGGGTAACTCAGTTCCCTTTTGCAACAAAGGTAGAGTAAAATTACTGTTTAATACTAATGTCTAACTGCTACAGCTAGCAATAAGCCAAAGAGCCTCCATCTGCTGTTGGAATAATATGACTGCACGCTCAGATGTTTGACCAATCACGATGAGGGGCAACAATATCCAAAGTGTTCAAAATGTATGAGGACATTTGTGAGAATGATCACTCAGATGAGGCCGAAAGGTTTTATCTACCCATCAATTTGTGCTCTTTTTATTAGCTGGTAGCTAGCATTAAAATAAAAAATCATGTTTTCTTGTTATTGGGATACGTATGTGCTCGCAGCTCATTTTGAAAAATGCACCATTTATAGTGACTGGTGAGTACTATGTAAGATTATTTGACCACAATACTTGGCTTATTTAAAGAAAAAATCAGAACAATTTGGTATTTGAAGTGTTTGAGCGCCTTTATTTTTCTATTTTTGTGCATTTGGCAGGGGATGTCTGCCTTTTGTAACACGGTGTGCTGCAACCCCCCTAAGTCCCGTGGCCTTGTCCACACACACATACAAAAGTATTTTAGACGTCTTTGATGTAAATTAAACAGCAATGAAACATCCATTCTATAACATCTTACGACTTGTTTGGGGCAATCGTGGCTCAAGAGTTGGGAGTTCGCCTTGTAATTGGAAGGTTGCCGGTTCGAGCCCCGGCTTGGACAGTTTCAGTCGTTGTGTCCTTGGGCAAGACACTTCACCCGTTGCCTACTGGTGGTGGTCAGAGGGCCCGGAGGCGCCAGTGTCCGGCAGCCTCGCCTCTGTCAGTGCACCCCAGGGTAGCTGTGGCTACAATGTAGTTTGCCATCACCAGTGTGTGAATGGGTGGATGACTGAACGTGTAAAGTGCTTTGGGGTCCTTAGGGACTAGTAAAGCGCTATACAAATACAGGCCATTTACCATTGTTTTCTTGTGTATTTAGTAAAACGTGAGCACTGGTTCAGGAATGGCCTCACATATGTCGCATCAATTTTCAGATCCTGCCCAATCAGATCTGTAATCCTGCTGCATCACAGGCAGCTTTAAATCCTGCTGGTTTACACTTGCTTGGGAAGGCATGTTTATCATCTTTATCAAAAGCAGCAGGTCAAGCACATGTTAAAGCAAAAGACTTTCAAGTCATAGAATGTGCAGTCGATACTCATTTATGATTGTGTGGGCAAGCAATTAATTCCTGTCCATATAACAGAGGTCATATTTTTAACATTTTGCAAGCTCACGCACCTTACAAATCTGAGAAGCAAATAGTAACATCCGCCTGGTGTTGACGTTGTGTTTGTTCTTCTCTAAGTAGCCAATAAGGCTGCCATAGGGCAGGTACTCCATCACTAGACTCATGCTGAGGCGACCTGTGAACAGACAAGCCATGACGTTGTTCATCAGATAATGTCCTTTCAAATCTTTGTCACTGAAACACAGAGACGTGTGAGTTTCATGCTTTAAGAGGAAATTGGTAAGTGCAACGAGCTCTTTTGCTTGGTTCACTTACATCTACACCTTTTACAAAAAAGTCATACAAGTCACCTTAAACATGTTTTTGAAGTGGCACAGCAATCCTTAATGAGTTCACATTAACACATTTATAAAACAGGAAAGGGAGAGCTAAGAGTTTTACAGTCTAAGCAGGGGGCAGATCATTTTATTATTGTTTGGGGTTTTTTTTTTACCCATGCTGTAGCAGACTCCCTTGTATTTGACGATGTAGTCGCAGTGTAAGACGTGGAGGGTGTTGACCTCCTTTTGGAAGTCCTCCAGGTTTGACTGCTTGTTGGACTGCAGCTTCTTCACAGCCACCAGCTCACCAGTGTTATCACCCAGCGGGTCATAACGGCAAAGCTCCACGCTGCCAAAGTTCCCCTGCAAATGTGTTAAGTCACAGATAAAAACTGAAGTTAAAGTAGATGCATGAAAGAGACAGATAAAGAATAAGCACAAATAGTAGGTCCTGCTTGTGTAGCATAACATCAGCTTGACATATTTATTTAGTTTAAAGCTTCTGTCCATTATATGTCGCTTCACACTTACTTTTCCCAGAGGGGAGATGTAGCGCAAGTATCTCTCCTCAAACAATGTCTGGTCGTGCTGAGGGTGGCTGTAAGATCTGCACACGGGGCTCTGTGTGACAGGTTCGGTAGCGTGAAGTATCACATAGTCTGGCAAAAAACAAGGCAAAATTAGCAATCAGTAGCATTTTCACTTCAGTCAATCTCAGCGTAATACCTAAAAAATCATCCATTTGGAAAACAGCTATTGGTAGCAACAGTAGTCTGTTTAACAGCTACCCCTGGACGAATCGCACAGACACACAAACACAAGGACAAAAAAAGATTTCTCTTTGCTATTTTATCATTTACATTTAAAAGGTTCACTGTACTACTGTATATTAGAGCATTTTTTGAAATGCACTTACTTATATTGTGTTATCTCAGAGCTTCCCAAAGTGTGGTATGAAAAGGAAAAAAAACCCCACAAAAAACACTTGGACACTGCTAGCATAATGGACAGGTTTTTGACGGAGCGCCCACACAAACGCAAGGCAGGAGATGAAGCATCGCTGAATATGTTTCCAAACCAACTTCATTCTAAGCCAAAGACTAGAAAATATGGTGAAGCAAATTTTCCCTTTGGTTTCACCTGCACAAGTGCCGAGGTAGGTCTTCCCTGCAGAATTGGTTTTCCCTGCGTCGGGAGCAGCGCTGGGCTCTCCAAATCACTGACAAACAGTATCCCACATTCTTGATTTTTAGTTCACAAACACTTGTTGTAATGAGTAACTACTCCTGATATTTCGGAGATGTTAGCTCTTTATACAGTAAAGTTACAGTGGGATACAAATAATATCAGGCTGATCCTGCCACAATTTGTTCCCCCGGTTCAAATCACAGGCAAACAGTATCCCACAGCTGTTTATGTTTTTGAACCCATTTTGCACAGAGAGACATTTTTGAAAAATGTATTGATAGCAATATTGAATATTATTACACAGGAACAAAACAACTACACGTAAAATAATCACACCGTGACGCCTCTGCCTTTCTAAATGGAGGGACAGTAACTGCGTGTGTATGTAAGCGTGTAAAAACTGAAGATAATCAGGGACAAAATACTGTTAATCTATCTGCCATTCTGCAATTCTTATCTTATCTTATCTTATGTAAACAATAATGTGTGCACAGCGTGACGTGAAAAAAGGCACATACCTTTGACGTTGCAGGACAAACTCTGTATTGCTCGTCCACACGTAAACGCAAAAAAGGAGTTTTAAAAAAATCTCCATTTTTGGTGATTTGAAACGCTGTTTATGTGCGGACGAAAGGCCCAAACGCATAGAAACAGCTGCGTTTTCAAAAATACCCGTGTAGGTGTGGACGTAGTGTAATAGTGGGGGGGACGAACATTTTTCTTGTAAAACAAAGGGGGGCCTAGCAAAAAAAGTTTGGGAACCACTGTGTTATCTGGACTGAATACACCTGTGTGTTCTTGTTGCTTTAAATGATTCATACTTGCTCTTTATAGAACTCATCAGAATGTTCACACTGAACATATGTGCATGTGTGTGAACCGGTCCCTCTCCTCTTTAGTCCAAAGGTTAGGGTGCGCGTGTTTTGCGAAAAAGAATTTCAAAGTCTGTTTTAAATGATCTCTGATCCAGAGAAGACGATGATCCGGGGTCATGTTCACGTATGACTTTCTTTTTTATAGAGTTGCATGACAGAGTTAATTGTGTTTTACACACAGCGATTTCTGGAGATGTCCCTGAGCCCGTGCAGTTATTTCAATGAAAGAATGATGCCTGTTCTTATGCAGTACCACATGATCATTGGCATCCAATATTCATTTTAGGCCTTGTCACTTGCACACAGAGATTTCTCCAGATTCTCTGAAACTTTTCATATGATGACATATTCAAAGTCTTTGCAATTCTATATTGAGGAACATTATTCTGAAATTGACCCATAATTTGTAGAGGTATTTTTTTGCAGAATTGGTGAACCTTCGCCCATCTTTACTTCAGAGAAACGTTACCTCTTTAGGATGCTCTTCTTTATTAGCGCTGACTTTTGTCACTTGCATTCCAAATTGTTTGAGATTTTTGGCTGCCATCAAACTCTAAATCAGCTCATATCTTTCATGAAGTAATACAGTGTCTCACTTTAAACATCAGTTATGTTTTCTATGTTCTATTCTGAATAAAATATGGGTTTATAAGATTTGCAAATCATGGATTCTGTTTTTATTTACATTTCATAAAACACCATCATTTGTTATCTCTGTCTGCTTTTCTAAGGATTATATCCGATACAAAAAGTTAGTCAAAGTATTCTGGTATTAACTGAATTAATTTTATTTATCTAATTAATTTATGTTTTAAAGGACAGTTTTAACATGTATGTGTCAGCTGATTACCAGAACAGTATGATACGCATCTTTACCTGAAGTGATGAGACTGTTGAGTTGACGGATAATACTGCGACATGAAGGTCTGAAGTCTGCCTGGTAGTCCATACACTGACTGATCAGATCTGCTAGCTCTGTCCACTGAGAGGGAGGCAGCTGCTGGAAACTCTCATAAAACTGCTTCTTCTGCAAAAAAAAACAAAACAAAAAAAACCACAACACATTTAGCACCACATAGCACCATTTAATGTTTGTACAACTATTTTTCTAACGACTGAAAATTCACAGAAAAGGAAGTGCAATTTTCATGTAATCTACACAGTATTCTCAGTAGTCTTTTCACAGTGTTGCATTTTATTTACATCAAATTGAAAAGTTAATATAATATTCTGAACTGCATCTGTTTTTCTGCATGCTGAACTTTATAAACCAAAACCAGAGCTACAACTCACACACAGAGTCCTCTAGTTTAGGCATTTTCTGCAATTGTTGCATAACAGCAATGAGCTTTGAGTGATCATGTAACACTGACCCAGACAGCTAAAAAGTTTAGAGTGTTTACAGCCTTCCAAAACCACAAACTGCAGATCAGGGAATACGATGATCTACCTGATCTAGGTTCCAGCCTCGTAGCAGGGAGTTTCCATTGTTAAAGATTTCCCACACTGTGGCGCCAAAGCTCCATTTATCACACTCGAGGGTCAGTTTTTCTGGAGCGTCCAACACCTCGGGGGCCACCCAGGGGATCCTGTCCAGAATGACTGGAGAAACGACAACTCTATTAATTAAGTTTCTTCGTCTATTTGTTTGTTTGGCTATAAGTTAGCAGCTAAAAGTATCCTTTATTTTGTAAGGCATGTTAATGTGTATAAAATAAAATGAATAAAGCTAGAATTGGTTACCATTGCATAAAAAATGCTGATACATACATTACAGTAAATAATCAGTCAATTTAAATTAAAAAAAAAAGGCTTTACCATCTTTGCCCACCATGGCCATACTGATGCCCGGATCACTCAGCTTAATGAAAGGAGAGCTCCCCTGAGAGGGGTCACCTTCTCTGGCCAGCAGCAGATTTTTGGCACAGATATTTCCATGAATAATGTTCTTCTCTTCCTGTACGAGGGTTACATGTGATTTTAGCAACTACATTTCAAAGTAAGCAGGACAGAAAAATACCTGTTTGCTTGTTTAGTGTTATTAGGAAACACTTCATCCTTTGCATTAATTCTACTGTTCACAGCAGTTATGTATTTTAAAATACCTGGTAAAACATGACATTTTAAATAACATTTATTTGCACATCATGCAATCTACAGTCAGGCCTGCTCTAGGCTGCCTTCTTCTCATTTCCACATCGGTAAATCTTCCTTACCAGGAAGTTGAGGGCTGATGCGAGCTGTTTGGCTACGTCAAGTTTCCAGCTCACTGATACAGATCTCCCCCTTTTCAAGTAAAGGTCAAGGGCCCCGTACTTGACATACTCCTGCACCATGATGTCTGAAAGGCACAACAAGGTTTGTTTCAACAGCTGTGCTTCAAACCAAAACACAGAGCGCTCACTCGCAGAGCAGCGCCTGAGCTAGGGCCACATGATGAGACAAAGTTAACCAAAAAACTGTCAACTACTTGTGTCAGTCGAAACACTGATTGCACAACATTCAGCAACACAACATTCAGCTTTACTGGGCTTACTAGCAAACAGCAATACACAAAACAACAAAAACAGTCAATGCGATCATGGAACTTAGTTTTAACTCACTCTTTGCTCCGTGAACACTAACACCGTATACAAGGAGCAGGTGTCTGTGTGCAATCTGACTCATCAGGCTGGCAGCTTCAAAGAATGACTGAAATGGTCAAAAAGCATGTGTTAATCATAAGAAACAAATACATTTAAAAAAAAATACTTATGTATGTATAAAGTCACCTCCCAGCAGTTCTTGTGAGTCGCATCGAGCTCTTTCAGCAGAACTTCGGTCACACGTTTCTCCCCGTCATGAATGTCGATTTTTTTGCCTTTAAAGATTCGAGTGAAAGAGCCCTTTCCGAGGCTTTCGTCCTGATCGGGAAAGTATCCATCATAAACAACATTATAGCTCAGCGATTCTTTTTAGATTACCGTGGCTATAGC